TAAATAATAGTTGGAGTTGGAGTTGGTAGGGAGGATTTTAGTGGGATGAAAGGGACATTATTGTCTTTAGCAAAGAATGGATCCAAAGAATGGCTTAGTGGGGGGTTTTTCCAAAGTCACGATTCTAATTTTGGAGCTTACTGCCTACTCTCTCTCTCTCTCTACTTTTTGTGTGTTATTTTAATTTCATAATGTTTATGAAATTAACCTAAGTTTTGGATATTGCATTGGATACTGTGTGTGCGCTAACCTACAAAAACATCAATTAAAACTTCCCTCAATTTGAGGATTTTTTTTTTTTTTCTTAACATTCGCAAACTTACCCGCCCGTTCTTATCTTATGTAACTTCAATTTTTGTTCGTTGTGTTAAGTTGGATTACGAAAAAGATTTCAGGTTGATTGAGTTAGTGACCCGAGTGATCCAAATAGGAATCAAAACCCGACCCAACTCTATATTTTTAGGTTGGGTTGGGTCGTCCGAACTTTTTTTTTTTAAATTAATAACATAAGTCTCGTAAAATTTAAATATAAAATATTCATAAGTCATAATGCATCGCTAACATATGTAACAAACGTCAAATATTTTTAATGTTCATCGTAATCTTACATATAGATAGGATTGAGTTGAATTTGATTGGGTTGTGAACAGGTTTTTGAGTTGGTTGAATTGACACTAATGTTATAACTTGTAAACAAAATTGATTTTTTATAATTTTTTTAAAATTCAACCGAAAACTGAAGAAAAAATTTAACTCAACAGAACTCTTGTAATTTAAGTTGGATAGTTCGGGATGTTCATGTCATATGAACAAACGTGCTAAAGTAAACGCAATATTGAAATAATTATATCTCACATTTAATTCAAACAATTTACCTAAATATTTTTTGCTAGTTATTTTATTTTTATTAAATAATTTTAATTTAATTTATGATATATACCCAGGCAATATACAAATATTTTTGAGTAAAATCTTGATAATTCAGACTACAACAACGTGGGGATTTTTTATTCTTATAAAAGAATAAAATAAAACAAGGGAGAAAAAAAATCCGACCTGCCGGATTCGAACCAGCGACCTAAGGATTACTTCAGGATTTGATGCCCACTACAGTCCTCCGCTCTACCAACTGAGCTAAGGTCGGTCTTGGTGATGAAAATAATTTATAATTTTATTAAGTTATTTATTATTTATAAAGACAAGAATTCATCGACGGCTGGATTTTAAATCTTCCGAGGCAAAGTCGAACAGATTTCGAATTTTTTATTAATATTTTTATTTTTATTTTTTAAATATTTGATTATTTAATTTTTTTTTAATTATTATTTGTCTCTTTGATGTTTTATTATGGTCTGATTGTAATATTTTTATTATATAAATAATATAAGATCAAAAGATTAATGTCCAAATTAGGAAAAAAAAATTAATATTTTTAATCCAAGAACATTTAATATTTATCTGAGATTTTAGTTATTAAATTAACCGAGTAGACAAGTAAATTATTTTAAAAATAATTATAAAAAAGACCCGACAACTCATGAACTCGAAAAATAGAGGGTTGGGTTGGATTAAATTATGAACTATATTCGTATTACTCGAATCATGATTTGAGATGGAGTTAGTTATATATTTATTTATTTGTTTATTGGGCTGCGATTTGAATTTCTATGAAAGGCCCAAAAAATTTAGCTTATGGGCCGAGAGGCCCAAACCAAGAGCAGCAGCCCAAGATTCGTAACCAGTTCTCAGAGACTCAGACAAAGAGTAGAAGAATAGACGCCGATATCTGTGTTTTGAGCTCTCAACGAATTCCCCTCTTGCAGTTCCCATTGATTGTCTTTCCTCTGCGAAATCCGGCGAAAAAATGAGCGGTACCGTCAAGAAAGTGACCGATGTTGCCTTCAAAGCATCCAAGAACATTGATTGGGATGGCATGGCCAAGCTTTTGGTCTCCGATGAGGCTCGCAAGGAGTTCTCATCCCTTCGCCGAGCCTTCGAGGAGGTTAACTCTGCTCTCCAGACCAAGTTCAGCCAGGTCCGGAAATTCTTGTTTTTTTCTTTCGTTGTTTTCATAGTCGCTAGATCTTTGTTTTTGTCTGAATTGATTCTTGTTGATGTGGTTTGATCTTTGTTTGGCTTGAATGTTTGAGATTGTGTTTATCGGAATTTGTTTCTTGTTCTTATGTTTAATTTCCTTCATTTCTTGTGAATCCGGTGTTGTTTACTAACTACAATCGCAATATTTCGTTTATTATGGGTCGTAAATAGGGGAATGTTGATTTACTTGTGGTATTATCGAAGGAAGATCGTTCGGAGTAGAATGGAATTTAGAAGACAAATGTTTCTCGTTATAAAGCCAACATTTTCAACTTGTTTGGATCTAGAAACTGTTATATGCATAAGATGACAGGAACAGGATATATGATTCATTATTACAGCAATTCTAATGTCTCTGGTAAAATTGGCTGGGCCATGTCTATTTTATACGAAATGGCAAATCATATGTATTTGGTATCTGGTCTGGAATACCCATTTCATACAGTTTGTGCAACTGGGAGTGTTGGAACATAGCTCATAGTAAGATACTAATGCTTCTCCTATGATTTATAGGCTCAAATCACTATTTTGTTCGTAATGAAATAGTTGTTTTTTCAGAAAAAGAAGTGCAATTGGAAGCCGAATCGATTGGTCGTAAAATAATTGTGTTAATTTTGTGCTTTTCTTTTGTATCAGTCAACAAAATTTTCATATTAATGACTAAAGCGTGCTTTTAATTTTGTGGCCGTAGATAGAATGAAGTTTCCTTTTACGAGGAAATTTTTTGAAGTACTCTATTGGGCTGCCTTAATTACTCTGCTCAATACTTCCAAGATTTGGATTATTTTTAAACTGTTCATCTCCGTTCAGGAACCAGAGCCCATAGACTGGGAATATTACAGAAAGGGAATTGGATCCCGCTTGGTGGACATGTACAAAGAGGCTTATGACAGTATGCTCTCTGATTCACTTGTCTTTTGAAGTTCATACTTTGACTTTTCTGTGCAATATTATGAGGCAATATTGTGATTTTTTCAGCACCTGGCTTACCTGTGATACTTCTCTAATTTGGATTCTCAAAGATAACTTTTCTTGACTAGGTAGCCTTTTGGAACCACGATCATACAATAAATACATTGTATAATTTGAGATTTTTGGATGTAGACTTCTGGGGCGCATTGGTAAATCTGTCCTAAATTTTTTAAGTGGCACTTTTATCTCAGTGGATGTCACACTATCCTATTACTTGTTCATGTTCACCACCCTATTACTTGTTCATGTTCACCACCGATGATCGGGGGAAATCCTGTGATTGAAGTATTTACAGCATTTTCTTTTATATCGCAACACATTTGGCCTTTTAGTTGGTGCAACTTAAATGTCTTCTGAAACCCTCATTCTAATAGCCTGAAAATCTTGTCGTTGTAACGTTTGCGTGGTAAATAATAAGGCTGGGTATGAATTTAGCTTTCCCCTCTCACTCTCATGAGACCAGACAATGTCATCAAGATTCTGGGACAGATTAAGCATGGTTTTGGACTGTCATTCAAGTACAAAGCAATGCCCCTTATGATTGATTGTTTTTTTTTTTATCATTACGCCATCGGTTGACCTGCTTCCTTTTTAGGCATTGAGGTCCCCAAATTTGTAGACACAGTGACTCCGCAGTACAAACCTAAATTTGATTCGTTGGTAAGCACCACATATGTAGTTATATCTTAGTATATCTCTTTGTAGCTCCCCACTAGGCGCTTGATTTATTGTTCATGTGGCAGCTGGTAGAATTGAAGGAAGCTGAAGTGAAATCCCTAAAGGAGTCCGAGCGGTTGGAGAAGGAGATTGTTGAAGTTCAAGAATTGAAGGTAATAGACAAGAATAGCTCACTTGATTTCCCATTTTTTTAGGACTGATGAATCCTCACTGCTTGTTATTCTCATCAGAAAAAGATCAGCACCATGACTGCTGACGAGTACTTCGAGAAGCATCCTGAGCTGAGGAAGAAATTCGACGATGAAATCCGAAACGACTACTGGGGCTATTGACCGCAAATTACTGGTTGAAGCGCCAAAGTTTCACAATTTAATTTCGTAAATCTTCCGGGTCTTGTTTTGCTGCAGCTGTTTGGTCGGTAATAAAACAAACAAGATAGTTCTCCAATTTGGGTGCATTTGCTTTCCAAATCACGTTGACAAAATTGATTAGAGAGACTGAGATTTTCCTTGAGATGATGCTGTGAGAGTTCCAAATCACTCGAGGTACATTATCATGGCAAATGCATTTTTTTTTAATGAGATTATTGTGTTATTTCAGCAAGTTTTCTTATCATTCTGATATTAATAAAGAGATCTTCTTCGTAGTGGCTCCGCTCCATGCCGTTCCATGCCTCATTTCATAGAGAATCTCAAAGTGACTCTATTTCATTATATTATATCATATCCCAATTCCATTCATTTAATATCCCTATGGTCTCATTGAGATAAGAGATGTCGTTTTTAGTCTATCTGTTTCTATGGAAGGTGAAAAAAATTATCATATATATAATAATCTAGAAATTGTAATAGAAAAGAAAAATGGAAGTTTGTGATGATTTTAAAATCTTTTATACTAGGTAATCTAGTATTCTTATGCATGAAGATAATCAATTCGGTCTTGTGGTCGGACTCTAAAATCACATTCTCCATAGGGTCCTCTTATCTCTTCCTTCTCCGAGCTCGAGTTATGGAAGGAACGGAGTTTAGAATGTTGAGAATAAGTTGAACTCTTACAAATTAACAAAGAGTTCACATTTTCAAACCTTGTCGGTTGACAATCGGTTTTTTTGTCGTTCTATGAACAAAATGTAGCGTAGCATCTCTGAAACGGCATGAACAGACAGTAATGTGAAACTTCAAACTTCTCATTGTATGAAAGCAATTATATGTATAAGCAATCAAGGCATAATTCAATCCTGTTGATACGTACACTAAAAACCATGTATATATCCATGTAAAAGTAGTAGAGAATATCGTGGAAAACATAAGAGGTGGCATAAATGTACAAAAATGTGCACCTTGGAACTTGTTCGGGCAAAAATACACTAGGCATGTATTTTTTTTTTTCTTTTTAATCTAAATAGCCAGAGAAAGGGAAGCTCAAATGTCTCCACAAGGAAAAAAAATGAAAAGCTAAAAGAAGTTAGATTGAAACAAACATGAAAATCCAACTGATTTCTGTAAAAATATAGCGAGGAAAAGGAAATCCCAGAAGAACCACAGAGAGGGTTGCGGGTTTTACGTCGACGATGATGCCTCAAAACCACGGCCTCGTGAAGGAAGATATGTATGATCCAAAAAAGGGGGTGAAAGTTTTAACCAGAACCAGCTGCTGCTGCTTTCTTTTGAGACAATTGTTGAGCTGCTGCTAGCTCTTCATTTTTGTCCATTGCTTTCCTTGCTAGTTCATAGCCTGCAAAGTTCATGGCTCCTAAGGGGGCGATCCAGAAGAACCTGGGCAATGCTCCTTTGAACAAGCCGATGGGGCCCTCGTGGCGAAGAATTGAAATGAAAACAAACGACATTGAAACTGATCGACCCTGGGCTGTCATCATTCTTGTTTTCATTACGTCGAAAGGTGTGGTAACAACAGCAGCGAGGCCACCTGACAATGCTCCGACTGCAATTGTTTCCCATGGTTCCAGTTCCCGTGAAAGAAGTTTCTCAACAGCCTTTTGAACAAACAGAAAGAAAAAAAAAAAAACTTGTCAATATGCGAATGCGTAAATTATAGACAACCTTATATCTTGCTCTTTGAGGCGTTAAGTTTTCCCTTTTCCATTTTTCTTTGATAGGAAACACAAATTTCATAGCAAAAATGAAATTATATAAAAGAGGGGACAAGGATCCAAGCCAAAGGATTGGAAAAAAGATACCCAAGATTTGCCAACAGAATGAAATTACCCTTGGGGGATAGTTTTTTTTTTTTTTTTTTTTTCATGGCAAATAAATAGCTTCCTTTTTGCTGGTGTTTATTTAATCACTTTGTGGATTTTCCTCCTTTAGTTAATTACGTCAAATCGGGTTACGAGTTGTAAAAGCCAATGCTTTACCTTAAGTTAATTGAATTGTCTTATCCTACTCCACTGGGAATACTTCTTATACAAGGAAATATCTTTCTTGTTATAGAGGAGAAACTTCTCAACTTCTACAATCCTAATAATGATCCGATGAGATTATGAATTCAGCATTTTTCCAAAGGGTCAAGACCAAGACGCATCTCTACTAATAGCAACTTTCCTTTTCCTACACCATTCAAACAGACCAACACTGTGGCTGGGCCCTGGAGGCTTCTAGGGGCTAGGCAAGAGATTTGCTTTCTTCTTTCCTCGTTCGGTTGATAGGTGATTGTTTTAAGCTAATTCTTAACGCAAGGTAAAAGGAATAGGTAAGTGGAGGGGTTTGAAATACAATGCATAATATTCATATTCATTTCTGTTTAATGAGATACTATTATTTTCTTACGAATGATTAAAGAATGATTCTCTTCAAGGGACCAAGGTTCTTGAAATGGCCCCACAGATTTAGAAGTGAAGATGAAAAGCGAGTTGCTTGAGATAATATCAATATGGAAAGAGTGGCTTCTGTGGCTGCACGTGTCGGCTGTTCCTCAAGAGTTTTTTTGGAAGGAGTACTCAAGAGCAAAGAATTTTAGAAATCAATTGAAGAAAATGAGCTATGAAAATTGGAAAGACGAAAAAATTTCAACCTTTTTTCCAACCTTTCAACCTTTTATCCTAAAACAATTGCGTTGAATCTGAAAGGAATTCCAGGGATTTTGTTTTGGTGGAGGTATAGAGAATAATATTAGACATTTAGTTAATGGGAGAAATATGATTCGACATCAGGAAAAAGGTGGTCTAGGTCTTGGTAACTTAAAGAACACGATGGAGCCTTGTTTGTAAAGTGGGTTTGGAGGATTCCAGTGGAGGAATGGGTACTTTGGAATGATATCAGCATGTATGTCAAGAAATTTATGATCGGTTCGACACTAAAGGAAAGGTATATCAGCCCTTGGAAGACTATTCAAAAACTTAAAACTCCTCTTTGACGAACGTTCCTCACTTAGTGTTGACAATGAGGAGAATATCATATCCTCCAATGCATTTATTTTTTCTAGATTTTCTTTATATAAGAGACAAGTAATGCAGAAAGATATCTGGGAGGAGAACATAGCCATTTGGAATTTTGTGCTGGGAAGAAGTTTAACAGAAAAAATGAAGAAGAGGAGTTCCAATAACAATCCAGCTACTAATTGTACTAGGGGTTTGGATGAATTCTAGAGAAGATAGGTGATAGTGGTGCTTATACGAAGTGTAATACTTTTAATTGTATTTGTTCTCCCAATTAGTAAATATGAGAAGCTGCCTTATGGAAAATATAGCTGTGCCAATTTTGGGGGGCAAAGTACCAAAAAAATGTTCAGTTCTTTGTATAAACTGTGTTGTCATAGAGTCTAAATGAAATAGATAGAATTCAGAAACGGTGACTTAATATGAGTCTTAGGCCAAGTTGGTGTCCCGTTTCTCAGAAAGATGGATTAGGTGGGGTTGGAGCTTATATTTTATTGCTATTTGTCTAAGAATCTTACATGGTCCGACCATAGATCTGAAAAAGATGAGTAAATAGATAACAACAAAGGAATGCTGTGGGAAAAATGTAATCGAAGATTTATATTGAAAAGAAGTTGATAAATGGATTATAAATACATACCTTTTTGGATTCAGCATAAAGTCCCATGCCGGCAACATAGAACGGAACTTCCCTACAAAGAGTGGCACCGGTCCCACGGAAGAATCCCTTTAGGCCATCTTGGTTCCAAGTCCCGAGAATTGCCTGGCCTACATTGTCAAAGAGTCCTGCTTGCAACCTCTGCTTTAATACCTCACATGGGATCCGCACTGCAGTACCCAAAAATGTACTCCAGAACGATGCGAGGGATTGAACCTACAAGAAATACTGAGCCATTAACTATAAGAGCCCATGATGCAATCATAATAGGTCTCAGAACACATCCTAAATTGAATGAAGAAATGGAGACACTTGAGTCTGTAATATGGGCATATCTTATGCAGAAGAGCGTGCATCATAGCTTTCTTAACATCTTGCCCAAAATAATCTAGCCACTTAATCGAGACTTATAAACTAGAGAAGATGGTGAGTTTATGTATTAATCAAAATAAAGGAGCTAAAATAACCACATAGTTTTCGCCTTCAAGATGAGCAGATGTTAAAATCTTATGCCAGCAAGAAAGATATATTAAGATCGGAAATGAACATCTCAACAGGGACATTAAATTTTATGGATGCAAGATGCGCATACCATAGAGATACATGAAGCTGCATGTCATACCCACCATTTTTAATACACGAACAACTTATAATGAAGGTCCAAATAAAATATACAAGTGGAAGGGTGTAAGAAAAATCAAAAGCAACCCAGCTGTGGTAAAGATCAAGACCAGGCTGAATATATAGAGAAGCCTCTCCAAAGGACAAGCAATACTACTATTCTTGAACTGGGATTCCTACCTCTTGATTTGAATATGTTCAAAACCCCTACCAAACCAGCCAAACATATTAAGAAACTGAGGAGTTTATTGGGAGGATATGGAAGAAAGGCCTTCACCTGCTGATTTGATCGTCCGTTTCATTATTGAGATACTATGGAGGTGAGATATGGGAAACATACATATGAGGAGCAGTGACCCTTGTTGGAAAGAGGTTGTGGAGATTCCCTTGTGAACGTGAAATATTTTAGCATTTGGTAGTTGCTGGAAAATATGCCGATGCTTTTTTTGGTATTTTTTGCTGACAGTAAAATTATTAAAAATAAAATAATAGCCGTCCCTGGTCTAGACTATTGTATCATCCTTCAATCTTTGCTTAGTCCAGGTTTCAATCCTAAAATGAGACAGTTAATCTACTTCCATCTGGGAGAGATTTGAAAAGGAAGAAATTGGAACATTTTTTAGGGGAAAGCTATAGAGAAACAGGGTTGAACTTTATGTGCCCATAATTGGTTGAACCTCTCCAAAAAGATTAGTTTTTCTTCTCTTCTTTCCATAAACGCTCTGTTCCCAACGTTGTGATTTGGATACTTAAGCTTCTCTTTGTAACATTGTAAATTAAGAAAAATGCTTCTTATAGAAGTACAAGAATGGGAGGAAAGTTATAGAGTAAAATGAATTTTGAAATGGTATTGAACTTTTATGTGCCTATAAGAATATTGTATCTTATAGAAGTAAAAGAATAATAAACAGACAGTGAAATCTAAAAATTACCTGTATGTCTGGGAGTGTTGGAGCTACATTTATCAAAAGAAGTTTAGTTGCTTCAAATATTCCAGTTCGTAATCCATGACTACAAGATTAAAGAGAAAGTATCAAGAGTTTGATATGAATATGGTACACCAAAAAACTCTATGCAATTTATGTTGCTTTGGTGATAAGAAAATAACCTTGAAAACTGTCCTAGAATGGCAGGAATAGAACCGCGGTATAGACCTCGCACACCAATCTGTGGAATCCTGGATATGATTTCAGGGAAAGTCAACGTTGATGCCTGTACACGAGTCTAAAAACCATGAAAAAGAAAAAGAAAAGTCAAGATGAGCATACTGGTGAGGACAGTCAAACCATCAAACATGCAAGTCTGAACTCAAAAGAATAAAAAAATAATACTTTCATTAAAAACGTATATCATGACAAGACGAGGAAATTTTTTAATTTTTAGAATTGGATCAAAGAATTTGCCTTGATTGTATCGATTGGGAACATTAAAGAAGTAGACAGAGCACAAGAAAGGCCACCAGCCAATGCAGATCTTAGAACGCTGCCAGCAGGTATTTCCACAGGTGGTGGAACAGCAACAACTGTAGCAGCTTCAAACCAGATACTCCTGCAACCATTATCGAAGAATTTATAAAGTTAAAGATCTTGGCAAAACATAACTAAATCCTAAATTCATGCTCAATAAAAAAAATGAGAAAGTTCTATGCGTTGGCTACCAGAAAATACACGTAACCAATTTTAAGACGGTCATAAGAAAAGTGAAAACTAGCCACACAAGATAGAACATATACCTTTAAGCTAAGATATCATATAATTATGACCAAAGCACAAAATCACAGATAGCAATTATAATATTTGAAATTAATCTATAATGTTAATTCTCAACAAGTAGAGTCCCTTGTGAGCTTCTGGCTCAAGGCTTGTTTATTGTATGACCCTTTCCCATTTATACTTCCATCTGATAAATGAAAGTTGGTCTTTCCATTAGATATTAAAAAAAAAAAAAAAAAAAAAAGAACCAACTAGGAAACAATATGGGGTAAGAAGTTAATCATCAGTTGCATGATGGCTCTTAAAACAAAGAGCCATCATAAATTATAAATTTCCATACGGCATGAAGGGCACTTGGAAATATCAAAATTCTCAAAAGCAAGCCAACACATCAACATTTACTGTTCCAAATACATAGATACTGACTCACATTAGAGGATTCTTTCCAACAATAAATAAGCTAAAATCCAAAATCTTACGTCCGGTACCATTTTAACTGTGCAGTTGATACGGTTATTTCAAGAAAATATTTACTATCCAAGTAGACTAAGTTGACTCTTTTCAGCTAATAAGCGTCAATTTCTCCATGAAAACACCTAAAAGCTTATTTTTCTTCCTTTATTTCTTTCTTATATTTAAAGCTGATTAAAACTCGAGCAACTGTTAAAAAGTCTGACCATGAGATGTACCTCAGCATGTCAAATAAAAAATCCATCTTACCGTGGATCTTCCTGCAGTCGATCTGAAGGAAGAAGAAGCATAAAATTTCGGAAATGTCCATATGAGATAGATTCTTCTGTGTCTGCATTCAGAAATCGCATCATAGCAACAGCATTGTCTTCATTGGCTGGGAGTCCAGCATTCTTAAGTGATGCCAATATTTCACTTTTTTGCAAAGTTCCCGACTTGCTCAGGCAGAGAGAAGTATATGCACGTAGAATGGTTGGTTCCTTCTGTTCCATGAAGGACAAAAATTGCTTCCAACCAAATGACTTTGAAAACATGTGACTTCTAGTGCGATTCATGAACTCCCGGGCGTATCGTTTGGGCAATTTTCTCTTTCTAATTGCAATTTCAAGATCCTCCATATTCACTTGGCCATCACCGTCCCTATCCAGCTCCTCAAAGAACCTCTTTCCTGTATAAGAGCATTAAGTTGGTAAGCCTTTTTTTCCCCTCAAATTAAGTACAGGGTAAATGGGTGTTAGTAGAAGAGTGTGATATGCATGCATCGAGCATCGGTGCTCATGCTAAGAAAGAAAGAAGAAAAAAACCCGGAAAGGGAGAGGCTGAATATGAAATTACTCAGAGAATATCTACATTCCACACAAGGGTCCTGGAGGCATCAAAAGCCGAACTACATCAATTTTTTCACTTATGACTATTGGAGGTCATTACTTGTCATTACAGATGCAGGCTTATAATTGCCTTCCTTGATATGACAAAACAAAACTCAGTAGAACCTTAGAGACATAAAAATTGGCAAATTCTTGATCAATCATTTAGATCCCTGGATTCTCCTCACTCTAGAGCAAAAGTTCAAAAAAAGAATATAGTTAAGAAATGTCAGAGTCAATGCATGTATAAGTTAATTAAAACATAACAATGGCAAGATGATTACTTCAAAAATTCAAACCCTCAAAGTACTATATTTAACGCAAAATAATACAAATTGTTTGTGCATACCTTCGGCCTCTGTGTATCTGAAGAAGTCCTGAACTGAGATCAGCTTCTTCTTATCTGGATAATCTTTAGAAGACCGCCCAACATGTGGTAAAAGCTCAATAAGCTCTGTCAACGACACGGTAGACAATGTGGATCGCAAGCGTTCAACGTTAGAAAGAGGAATGCTAAGGATACCACTTGCTAGCTTCTGTGGTGAAATGCCACTAGTTTCTTCCCTATTCTGAGCAGAGACCCCATCATCCCCCTCGTTCACAGTAGAACTGACTCCCACTATGCCTGATGGGACACCTCCAACTCTTGCAAACCGCAAGTTCCCGAAAAACCCATTTACTTCTGCTTTTCGACCTTCCCAAATGCTTGCCACAGCCTTGAAATGATCAATCAGAGGGGGCAATGGTGATTGTGGGGAACTATCACTGCTTTCATCAACATTTCCTGCCCCGTCCGGGTCAAACTTATGAAGATTTTGTGTCAACTGATCAAAAACAAAACCAATTAAGCATTCAAATGGCACAAGTTTGCCTTCATCGTGCCTCAAACTTTCTTGCAATGGATTAGTATGATGCTTCTCCTTTTGCCTCTGTTTTGACTCGCGTAAAATTTTTTGCTTCATGCACAAACCTACCTTTTCTTCCTCATCCGTTTTCTGTAATCGCTTCTTAATTGTTTTAAAAGGACGGGGAAGTGCCTGAACGACAGTGTTAACCAATAGAGACCAAGAGACTGCAAACTGCAAGCAGTTTGCACAAGAGGCCTTATCCTTAGCCAAATCTTCCTCTTTCAATGCATTCTCAGAAGCCTCCGAATTTCCATTACTCTGCGACAAATTTCCGAATAAAGCCTTTACTGGAACCTTAATCAATAGGCCTTGTTTCTGCTTATCTCTAACGACAGAAGGACCCCGCTTCTTCGTACCACAGATCTCACCTTCGCTCTTCTTATCCTCATCCTTAGGTCGCAAAATCAATCTAGTAAAATTCTCTTCATTATTATGCCTCGGGAAACAGTACTCAAGATCTTTAGCCACTTTCCGGAAGCCAAATTCAACAGGAGAAAGCGCTTCTTTAACGACTTGAATCGAGTTGAAAAAGGATTCGATTGGGTCATTAGCAGACACCATAACTAAAAACTCCTAAACTACACAAATCTTCAACGAAATCGCCGGACTGCTCCACAAACAACAGAAATCCAAACACCATTCACACACAGCAGCAACAACAACAACAACAACAATAAATTCGGGGAAAAAAAAAAAAAAAAGAGAGAAGAAGTACAATAGTAGATGAAAGTCTCAATCAAGCAATCCTAAAAACAAATCATTACCAGGCGGTGTGGAGAAGCGATGAAAGAGATTGATAATTGAATCCGAAAGCGACAAAACCCAAACAGACGGAGTTGAAATCGATTCGTATCACACATTTCGGCAGGAATCAGGAACAGTCCATTTGTGCAACAGAAAGAAACAGAAAGAAGAGAGTTCTAGCTCGCCATTGAAGCAGGAATCGAAGGAAAAGTGGAGAAGGAGACGAGTGGAATTTGAGCAATGGGTTTGGTTTATGCTTTGTGTTCGAAACCGGGAGAGACGAGTGGCAGACGAAGCAGAAGGAGAAGGAGCCAGCAGTTGAAGACCGGAAAGCCTATCGTTTTTTATTTTCTTTTTGTGTTTTTTTTAATTATATTATTTATTCTTTTTATAAATTTAAAAAAAAAATCAACATTAACTTAAATAATCCTCCCTAAAACAAATATCACATTTTCTCCCCCATTAAATACAAAATTACAAATTTACCCCTACAATTATCTCGAGTCCCATAGAATATAAACGTTTCAAAATTATCTTTGAAATATAAATTTTTTAAAATATCGGACGAAAAATGGTCGTAGATAGAACAACATATCACTGACTCAAATGTCTGTTTGTACTATATCTGAAAAAAAAACGATGTTTAGACACGTAAATTGTTCGTCCAACAATTTAAATATATCATCGATCACGAGGTTAAAAATGTAAATTTCATACATTAAACTGATAAAATACATGTGCGTCTATTTAATCGATATTTTACTAAATTTCGTACATATAATATTTCGATATATATATATATATATTAATAATTATTTCACTTTGATTTATAATAATATTACAAAATTGTTTAATGGGTATTTTACTAAATTATTTGTTTTTATTTTATTTTTTTGGAAAATGTTTGTTTTTAAAGGATAAAAATAAAATAAAAAAATAGGGAAAAAAGCTAAAAGCTGACATAAGGGCTTTGTAGGATGGGAGAGGAACCTTTAAACATTGGGCTCTCAGTCCGGTTTTTTTTTTTTTTTTTCTCAATTAATTTAATTTTTTTTAATTCAATCCTTATCCATATCTTCATTTAATGGATTTTAAATACTTTTATTATTTTGCATTCCGGTCCCTCCACTTCTTTTATTTAATATATTCCCCAAACGTTCACTTAATTACACTTTTCCAGGTTCGAGAATCAATGTTAATAATAATAATTATTATGATAATTGGATACAAATAATTAAATCATAAAATCCACGAAAAAAGAATCTTACATTTATACATTTAATGCTTTCATCCTCGCATCCGCAGTTTGCTAGTTCGATTTGGTACAAATAAGAATAGCGTCGGACAAGTGGGGTAAACCAGAAAATTTTGGGTAGAGCTGGATCTAATGTTGACTAGATAAGCATCCCGAATGGTACCGATGGACAGATACCCGAGTCAGGATGTTAGGTTGAATGGCACAATGACCTAAAGTCACGACCTCATGTATTTATAGAGGTGTATAATGAAGATTACATTCTACATCATAGATTTGGTAACAAAGTAGTAAATCACTAGATTATCTTCCTATGTACAGATACGATCTATTCTACGTTTAACACAGGACACTAAAATGTAAGGTTTAGGAATTGATGGCTTAACAGTCTACTGAATAAGCGGATTATAATTAATATTTTTTTAATTGAAATTATATTAAAAATAGAAATTATTCATGAGAAAAAAAAAATATATCCCCACAAAATCCTAAATTTAATTATAAATTTTTTTTATTACTCTTAGGGTCTGTAATAAAATTTATAAAAGTAGGGGGATAGAATTGAAAGGAAACTAAAGTAGGAGGGCTAAAGAATAATTTAATAAATAATAATGCACCGAACGAGAGAGTACACTCATGAAATTCAGATCCACGTGTAAGAATATTAGTGGGCGAGAGACACGTTCTTATCTTAGAGCGCTCCACGTATATTTATTATTTTTGGATAATGATTAAGGGGAATAAACCAAGCCTCCCCTATTAACTAATTATGCCGACGTTTACTAAACATTTAATTTTTTATTCGAACAAAATTAATGAAAGAATCTCAATTATTAGAATTAATAGCGTCTAATTTTTTGTTTATGTGATGGGTCTCACATTTAATTAGAATGTAGTTTTTGTTTCAAGTCCGAAATGGTTTTAATGAATATAATATTAGGAATTTTATTATGGCATAATTGTTTAGATTAAATTGTTGTTTCGATTTAATGGGTCTTAATTAAGGATTAATTATTTGATCAACATTTTATCCTAAGATAACTCAACTCGAGGATTCTTAGAGCTTAAGGGCACGGTTGTACATGACCCGTCCAAGTAAAGTCGTATCATAGGGAAGGATTCTAGAGTCGAAGATGAAAACGATCCGTGTAATTGGTTGGTCAAAGATTACCTGTGAGATTCTATTTTGGTTGAAGAGAGAACAAAGTATCCCTTATAAAGGTGTGAACACGTCTCCCTAATAGACACGTTTTAGAATCGTAAAGCTAACGACGATACGTAACGGACCAAAACAAATAATATTTTCTAGTAGTGGACATGAGCAGTTGTTATAAATGATATCAGAGTCAGACACTAAACATGTGTGCCCCAATGAGAGATGGATTGTGAGATCCCATGTCGATTGAATCTTTATAAAGGTGTGAAAACCTTTCACAAGAAAATGTATTTACATAACAGACCAAAGTATGCTAATGATGGACTTGAACGGTTACATCATCTTATAACTTGAAGATTTAAAATTTTATCGTCGTAATTTGATAAAACTTCATAAATAGTCCCAACAATGAGAACTATTTACGATCGTTTTAGAAAACTATATGGACTTATGCTAATATTTGAAAGTCATAGAGACTAAATTCTAACTTTCTTGAAACTATGGGAACTATGGGACCAAACTTGCAATTTAACCTTCGTTCTTAAAAAACGTATTCAACAAATAAGGCGTCAATATCTTTAGTTCTAAATTAAAATACCAAAGACAATCCATATGATCGTGACAATTTCAACAACAAAAAAGCATATCCCACATAGTAATCTCCGAATAAATTTCTGAGAATCCAATGACTGAAACAATCAACCAATGAATAATCCATGTTCAGAGGAGAAAACAGATAATACTTTGACAAAGGTTGCTGTACAAATTCAATGTTACTGAAGAGACTGGAAACAGAATAATCATAAATGTCTAAAGTAAACGCATCCAGAAAACCAGTCATGGAGGATGTTATGAAAGTAAGCTTCAAGTCTAACTATAATAGTGTTCATGTTTTCCAGACTAAAGAAACCAAACTCCATAAGTGAGCATAGGTTTCCGCAGAATGCTTAAACTTTGAAGAACGTTTGATAAGGATTTCAAGCAGCATACCTCATTAAAATGCAGATGGGCTGCCTTCAGATTTTCCGAGCAGGACATCCTTGGCTTCATTGATCTTGGAAGCAAGATAATGGCTGCCACCGGCATCGGGATGGTTTGCTATCATTACCCTTCTATGTGCTTCCTTAATCTTTTCTGGAGGTGTATTTTCTCTGTTAGCCATCAAGTATAAATTTGGTCAATCCCTAGAAAGTAATTGATAAACAAAGAAAGATATGTCACCACAGTGCTCTTTCATTCAACAACAAGTTCATAGTGAAGAAGTTAGTACAGAAGCATTGCTCTACTAAGAATAATTTCACAATCATTTCAGAAACATTCAAACCAATTATCTTGTTGGTGTCTCACTGATCTCTGTACTCCAAACTAATTATGTAGATCTAATAATTAAATGGAAGGAAAAGAAGAAATGAAAAAGCAAAGTTCTTCATCCTTCTTAGAGGGAAATGTAAAGCAGAGCCTCAACCAAAATAGAAGAATTAGAAAGAATCAAGATCAATCTTAAATGACCAGGCAATAATTTGAAAACTACTTGGTTTTTAGAGAATTTGATCACAACTTATTTACAAAGAGTTTTAACTTTCATAAGAAGAATGAATTCTTAAACAAGTTTTGAAAACCCTTTTTTTCAGTGGTTGACTTGAATTTTGAAAGCATTCCTTTGGTTTGTACAAATTAAGCCTAAAAACACTACTTTTACTTGCATTCTTTTGTTATCTACCTTTTAAATTTTGAAAACTAATAAGAGTTGTTATGATAAACTTGTTTGTGTTTTGGACTTTGACTAAGAATTATAATGTTTGTTTAAGAAAGGTGAAATCATAATAAGAATGTGTACGAAAACAAACAGTTTTTAAAAACAAAAATCTAAAAACGAAATCATTTTCAAATGGGGCTCTGTTTTGTAAATATCAATGTGACATGAAATGATCATTAACTGCGTTCAATAAGTTTCCTACCATTTAAGTAAACAGCCCCAAACCATGAAATTCTAACAAAGATCGGAATATTAAAAGGCATAAGATGCAAATCCAAAATTAGCAAAGTTAGCTTATTTATTCACGAAGGACAAATTCAAGTACGTTGGAGTACTACCTAACACCAAGAATAAGAGCTGCTTCCCTCTTTGTCATTGTAGGATTGAAACCACCTTCATAGAATTTGCGTGATCTGGCTTGTGGTGGCCGTGTCTTGAATGCTTGCCAAGCTCGAATTCCATATCTACCAGCAAGAGCCGCAGCAGCTACCGCTAGGCCTGCGAGGAATGGTGTAGCCTAATGCACACCTAGAAGTTTGTTAGTCTTATTAACAATAGAACTTGGAAGTTGGAACTCGCAAATCAACATAAGTGTCAATTACATATCCAAATAAGTGCTGAAACGTTAAAGCTTGATACCCATACCCTCAATTCTTTTTTATTGGCCACTAATAATAACTGTTGATCAAATGAAATGAGTTATGGGAGGTGGGGCTTAGATTGTGTGAGATCTCACGTCGGTTGGAGAGGAGAACAAAACATTCCTTATAAGGGTGTGGAAACCTCTCCCTAGTAGACGCGTTTTAAAACCGTGAGGCTGATGGCGATACGAAAAGGGTCAAAGCAGACAATATCTGCTAGCGGTGGGCTTGGGCTGTTACAAATGGTATTAGAGCCAAACACCGGGCGGTGAGCCAACGAGGACGTTGGCCCCCAAGGGGGGTGGATTGTGAGATCTCACATCGGTTGGAGAGGGAAACAAAGCATTCCTTGGGTGTAGAAACCTCTCCCTAGTAGACGCGTTTTAAAACCGTGAGGCTGACGACGATACATAATGGGCCAAAGCGGACAATATATGTTAGTGGTGGGCTTGGACTGTTGCAAATGGTATCAGAGCCAGACATCGAGGACGCTGGCCCCCAAGGGGGATGGATTGTGAGATCCCACATCGGTTGGAGAGAGGAACAAAACATTTCTTATAAGGGTGTGGAAACCTCTCTCTAGTAGACGCGTTTTAAAACCGTGAGGCTGATGGCGATACATAACGGGCTAAAATTGACAATATCTACTAGCAATGGGCTCCGGTTGTAACAGATTGTGATTTAGTTAGGAACTTAGGAGGGGCACATTTTGTGACTAAGTCATGTGATGTAAAATAATCTTGAATAATGGGATCACTAGGAAGTTTATGGAAGAAAGAGGGTGTGCCTTTGTAAACTGAGACAGCCTAAGTTTATAAGAGCAGGAGCAATCTAATCCTTGCCCAATTCGGACAATGATAAATAATATCGAGTTCTATCACTCAAATCCAAGATCCTTATGTTATTGTGAAGTAATCCAGTCAAAGTTACAACTTACAACTAAAAGAAAAGTATTGTAAAACAGCCTAAATCAGTATTGAAAGATGCAGTGATTCCATTTTAGTATATTATGCATCGAATTGCAGCTTAATGGCTTGGGAAGGTTAACCTTGAAAATCGTCAATAAAATGATGGCTAAAACTCAGCCAAAATCAACTCTCAAGAAAATAACAGTAACATGGAACCTTAATCAATCATCGAGACTATAAAATTTGAAGGGGAAAATTGAAATGATTTACGCTAACGTCCAATAAGAAGCATAACTCCAATTCAAAATTAACATCCAAAAAATCACAAGCTAAAGATATATGCGAAGCATAATAACATAGAAACGAAGGAGACAGAGATAATCAGATTCAGAAGCTTAGATGCTTGGTGCCTAATGAAACCTACAGATACAGAGAGATAGAAAAAGAGAAGTGGATCGAGGAGTGGAGTTTTGCTCACCATTTGAGTGAATTCCAGTGACAGACGAGAGAATGTGAAATTTTCATCCAGAAATCCGCATCCCTTCCTTCGATTCAGAGGCGAACCCGATTCGGTTTTCTCGGAACTGCAATGACGAAGCAATGGACCTGTGGTTTTCACTTTTCAGGCGACATTGATAAAAAAAAGTTTTTTTTTTTTTTTTTTTTTTAATTTTGAAATAATTTGTTTTATTTGGGTTGGTGTTAGTATCACGGTTGTACATTTTGAGCGTGCTACGTCGTGATCTTGACACGCTCACAACAACCCTTGAGAGAAACTCAAAGGCTATATTCATTTTTCGCCTGTTTTCGTGGCTTTGTCTTCGACGTACCTTAGGTGAAGTTGTCTTTGCCAACTGAACACAATTTGTACGGAATCTAAGCATGTTTGACAACACACGCCGCCTGTGCGTGCATATTCAATCGTTTGTGACTTAACCGACTTGTCTCTACACTAAACTAAGTCATTCGGCTCGACCTTTTCTCTACTTAGGGTCAAGGTCTCTCACATGCAATGTCGCATTCCATCTTTTCATCTAGATTTTCAACAATATAGCTCACATATCATGATGTCATCCTAATTCCTGGGTGTCATCGTCCATTAGCTCACTTGGAAGATAATATCGAGAGTGAATATATAGTTTTTCATAACATGGGGACATCCTGAACATCCATCTATCCAAGTTCTATCGAGGCATTGGACTCTCCCGTGTCCATGTCATATCATTTACAGATCTCGTACTAGATAGCTGGTGCATAATTCAATCTCAGACACATGGGCATTGACGCAATATCGGCACACTCGTGCCGTCCAACATTGTTCTTGAAAAACCCATTTCAAAGAAAGTCACCTAAGACACTCGTCTCACAATGCACACCCTCACCGTAACACAGAAGTAGCTTACTTAAGCCACATGGTCTAGGAGTGGTGAAAAGATGACACCATGTCTTGAAACTATGTCTCGTAAGATGCACTTTGAGGCATTTTCAATCTGGTAGGTGTAGACATGATTTTGGTGAACGGTCATACGGTGTCATGGAGTCCAATTGACACCAAATTTGGCGATTATCTTTCATATGGATGGACGAAAACCCAACTTTTGCTTTGTCCCTCGTGTCGACATTGTTGCTGTGAATGTTTGCTGAATCCACCACACCTAAATGGTGTGAAAGTTATCTTATTTATAATCAAATAAATTACAAGGATATGGAAATAGTAATAAATGGAAATAACAATAAATGGAAAGATACCTATAGTAATAAGGCAAATGTTAGATATTTGCCTTATAATAAAATATCAAATCTAATATATATGGTAAACTATAATTTATTACTAAATATCCTTAACAGTTGCCTCTATCTCGCTTAATTGTAAGAATTTTAACTTTTTTTTATAATGGTACAAGGCATTGATTTTTAAAATTTCATAGGTATTGTTTAAACATAGTGCTAAAGGCAAATGCAGTTATAAATTTTTTAAACAAAGTATTATTGAAACTTTCGAGAATTTAAGGATATTTTTATTACTTTAGCCCCCGTACAAGTAAAATTGAAATAATAAAAAATAGAGATGATATTTAAATTTTCTTACGTGAGAACCCATATTGGTTGGAAAACGGGAACAAAACATTTCTTACAAAGTGTAAAAATCTAAGTTCGAAAGGAAGAGCTCAAAAAGACAATATCGATAGACTTGAGCTATCCTTAATTAAAGAATAGACTCGTACTGCAAGAATATTTACTTCCATAATCTCATCGTTTCATTTTTTATTCGCAATAACTCCTTAGATTTATTTATGGCCCTCAAAGAGCCGTATGACCTTCGCTTTATTTTGTCTCACTCTTGAACTCCTTCGCTCCTCACCCCTTTTCTCAAAAAAAAAGGGGGAGAAGTTTATGTCTCAACGAATCACACGTAGAGATATTGATAATACACATAGAGTTCTCTTTCTAACCATACAATTAATCACACGTAGAGATATTGATAATACACATAGAGTTCTCTTTCTAACCATACAATTACTAGTACGCCGATTGTGATTCCCAATACAGTAGTCAAAATAGGGACAAGCACCCATAGAATTCCATAGACTTCTTAGACTCTCAAACTGTCAAGGGATACATTGACAGATACAACATGAACCAGTCAAAGAATACAAACAAGAATCCTCACAATTTACAATAGACAAAACAGATTTACAAATGGTTTCAATAAATAAACAAATCTTATTACATTCAAATAAGAATTTCAGGAAGAGAAATGGTATGGGAAAAAGAAAGGAAAAAAGAAAACGACACTCAAAATACTGATGGTCGGCACTAGCAAGAAACATATATATATATATATATATATATATATATATGTATGTATGTATGTATATATATATTTCCTCACTCACTTTGGTAAGTAGAAACTGCTGCAGAAAGCAGATGGTGTAAAAGCATGGATCATCGAGCCTATGGGAGGACTTGGCTAAACTCTCTCTGCTGCTAACTTCCTCAGCTTTTTAATGTACTTGGCTACTATTCACAATGGGAGGACTTGATAGCCTCCTTGGTTTAGCAGGGGAACCTGTAATGGAGAGCCGCTTCTTTGCAGAACCTGTGCTTGCAGATCCTTTTTCCATTGCCTCTTTCTTCAGTGTCACAGATGGACTTGCCAACCGGGACCGAGCCTTAGCAGCCGTCTTCGACGTTGGCGTGTAACTCGAAACTGAAGGTAAACTGGCAATGCTTATGTCATCCCTGAATGATGACCCTCCTATACTATGCCTCCGGGTGAGCTTTGAGTTGACACTCACGGGGCTTCTCATGTCATCATCCCCACTCCAGCTGCCTACCTTTAAGTTGGCTGCATTTGTTTTCTTTTTGCTAGATGATGAAGATAATGCTCTAGGAATGGAAGGTGACTGATGCCTATGCACTTGGCTTGCCTTTTGGCTAGTAGGAGTCCTTGGAGAAGGCTTCGTATGGGAGTTCGGATCGCGACGAGCATAAACTTGGATTATGTCGATTGTAGATGCATGAGTTGGGACGTTTGTGACAGAATTGTGATCTGGGTGATCGGCTGTGCTTTGGAGTTCCCATGGGCGAGCTGCCATCCATCTCTCCAACCAACTCCAGCCCCAGTAGGGATTGTTTGAATCCATGACAGAATGGGTTGTAGTTTTTGAAGAACTCTTCCATGTTCGCTGAAACAATGGGTGTTCGGATCAAAACTTATTTCCATGTGACATTCTAAAAGGGATCGGTACTCAATCCTATTATGAGCGTTCTTTCAACATTCTGATAATAGAAAGCAACAACTAAACTGCAAGGAGTTGCTATAACCATCTGATGTTTATATAAAAGATAGTGAAGTGAGATAATATATTTGGTACCAGCAAATTCTTTCTAAACTATCCGAAAGAAATTGTTACGGTCCAACCTCACCGTTAGTAGATATTGTCTTCTTTAGGCTTTTTCTTTTGGGCTTCCCCTTAAGGTTTTTAAAACGCGTCTACTAGGGAAAGGTTTTCACACCCTTATAAAGAATGCTTCGTTCCCCTCTCCAACCGATGTGGGATCTCACAATCCACCCCCCTTTGGGGACTAGCATCCATGCTGGCACTCGTTTCCTTCTCCAATCAATATGGGACCTCCCAATCCACCCCCTTTCGGGGCCAGCGTTTTTGCTAGCACACCGCCTCGTGTCCATCCCCCTTTGGGGCTCAGCCTCATCGCTGGCACATCGCTCGATGTTTGACTCTAATACCATTTGTAACGGCCCAAACCCACCGCTAGCAGATATTGTCCTCTTGGGCTTCTCTTTCCGGGCTTCCTCTCAAGGTTTTCAAAACGTGTCTACTAGGGAGAGGTTTCCACACCCTTATAAAGAATGTTTCGTTCTCCTCTCCAAGGTTTTCAAAACGTGTCTACTAGGGAGAGGTTTCCACACCCTTATAAAGAATGTTTCGTTCCCCTCCCCCAATGGATGTGGAATCTCACACTTACTATAGGTAAAGAAAAATGAAATTGTAGTACCTGATGCGAGTGAGCATAAGCCAAAGCTCGTTCTCTTCTTGTTGCGGCCTCTTGCCTGTTCAATAGTTTGGCTTCCATTTGTGCTTTAGAATGGGTGCTAGGATTCCAGACATCATCCATCTGTAGTGCAAGTATAATGGTTGCAAATTACAATAGAGAATAGAAGGTCAAAAGGAGCATTATTTTAATTAAAACCCATCTATACCACTTGAAGTTCGATTTCACAATTTTTCTTAGATAAGCAGAAAGCATAAAGTAACTGCAAAGAACAACAGTTGATCAATGATACTTTATTGTTAAACAAAAAGAAGAAACTAAAAAGAAAAGAAAAACTTCCCTGCATGATGATAATAGATCTTTGGTTTAAATTTGGACCTTCGTACATGTTTGTATATTATATGTATAACAGCCAAGCCCACCACTAGCAGATATTGTCCTCTTCGGCTTTCCCTTTCGGACGTCCTCTCAAGGTTTTTAAAATGCGTCTACTAGGGAGAGGTTTCCACACCCTTATAAAGGGTGTTTCGTTCTCCTCCCCAACCGAGGTGGGATCTCACAAAAATGTGTATACACTTGGCAACTTGGAACAATTTATTTAAGTACCAACAAGAAAGGTAAAACAGGCGGCACAAGTTCATACGGCCATAGCAACAGACTTACAGAAGTTTTGAACTTCTCATGATCTTTCTCACGTTTGTTACAAAGTTGCCGCTGGAAATCCTGATTTTCTTCCGACATTCTTACTCTCCTTGCACGAACCTCTGACTGTACATGTGCAAGAGTTTGCATACTTTTTAAAGTAGAGGCCACCTGCCGTTTCACAGAGTGGCCTTGTACCAACGACCTCAATCTCATTATCGCTTTGAGACCCCTTGATACTTTCCTCGCCTGTATGGTAAAAATCATTCATAAACACTAGGGAATATAATGATGCAAATCATTGCCAATGCTTTTCAATATCCAGCAGAAGAAAATCTCTTTCAAATCCAGGATAGAGGTGAACAATATCGACGAATGCTTTCATGATGTTATGAATAGCAACAAAAAAAGTGAATGAGCATACAGATTCCAATATCTAAATCTCCCATTTCCAAATAAAGAGCAACATCAATTATAAATAACCTCTTGGCTCGTGTATTGTACCAATTCATATATTACTCAGAGATAAAATTTGGTTATGAATTCTATAAATCTCTGAAGAACAGATAGCTGGAAATAATCATAAATTCATGTTTGTTTCATTAACAACAGTTACAGATGATTCTAATCGCTTTAAAATCTCAAACTTCCATGTAAACTGGAGTATAAAGTACCTTATATCCACGAAAGGCTGATTGAATAATAATAGCTCCTGTTTCCTCAGTCATTTCTGGCTTACAGGGTATAATACTGGGTAGATGTTCATCCTCCACAGCCAGCTGAGCTTCATCAACAGCAGGCTCCACCGCCTCGGAATGCGGAAGCTCGCTCGGTTCATCCTCCGGCTTAGTTTGATTGATATCATCTTCCATAGGAGAAGGTTCTGCGGGAACATCTAACAGGGATGGTTCCACAAATGTGTCCACACTCTCCTCCCTTTGGAACCATTTTTTCTTGGATCTTTCTTGTATCTGTTGAAATAACGTATCTGTAAGTTAAAAGGAAGATTTCCATATGACTAATAAGTTAACAGAAGTTGCTCCATTCGACCTTGTTACTGAGAACCTTCCTCACTGCAGCAAACCAACCCCCTTTCTTCCCCATTTCCTAGTCATTCATATGTCTTCTTTCTCTTAATCTGAACAGATGAATATCCAAACGCGAAAAGGATCATAAATAGCAATATAAATTGTGGCGTCTCAATCGATTTTTCATAGATAGAAACAGTTCATCAAATTACGAGAAAAAGCAATCAAAAGACCTAGAAATCAATCAATAAACGATGCAACATCTATATCAAAAAACTGGAAAATCTTAGCCAAAGAACGATCGTCATGCCGAGATTTTCCAATGAAACGAAACTCAAAACATAGAAGAAACAAATAAAATCCATAAGAAACGAGTGATCAGATCAATACCCATCCATGAACCTTCAAAGAAAATTTCTCTTGAAAAGCACTTATATCCCCAGAAAAACGATTAGAACAGGTCTAGAAAGCGAGAGAATAGAGGCGGGATTGGGAAAATGAACGAGTCTCTGGATTTTGGCGGTAGCAGGGGAACAAATAGGGCCGACGAATTCCGATAAAATGTTTATTTACAGAACATCATCATCATCATCATCTTCAATATCAATCACGAGCAGTAGCAACAGAATCACATTTCGGCTGCTACTCCATTTTCCCAAAGAAGAATTTAACGAAGGAATTGAATCGTACCAGAAAGCGAATTTGACCATCTTTTCGCTCCGCCATTGACACGATCCCATAACTATAAGCGATTGGTTGGTTTTCATGTCGTTGGTCGTTACAATTAGAACTCTTTTCTTTCATGGCTGAGCTTCCTTTTTCTCATTAATTTGTGATCCAAAGTCAAAATACATGGAATGTTGAAATTAATTAAAAAATGGGCAAATAACACCCAATTCTAACTCTATTTATCTCTATTTCGTCCTTTTTTATTTTTTTTATTTTTTTGTTCTTGTTCGTACCCAAAAACATATCCAGTAGGGACGGAGGAGACAAAAGGTATGACTATAACGACCCAGATCCACCGCTACGGGTTTTTCCTTTTGAACTTCCCCTCAAGCCTTTAAAAGACTTCCTCATACCCTTATAAAAGGTGTTTTGTTCTCCTTCCCACCCAATGTGAGATATTACAATACACAATACACCTCTCTTCAGGGTACGTCATCTTCACTGGCACTCATTCCTTTTTACAATTGATGTGGGACCCCACTCATTCCTTTCTCCAATTGACGTGGGTCCCTATCAAATCCACCCCTTTTGGGCCCTACATCCTTACTGGCACACTATCTCATGTCTACCTCCCTTCGGGGAACAGCGAAAAGGTTGGTACATATTCCAGTATTTGGCTCCAATACCATTTATAACGACTTAGTTCCATTTATAACGATTTAGTTCCAGTGTCTGACTCTGATACCATTTATAACGATTTAGTTCAATGTCTGTGATACCATTTATAAAATAAGAATAACATTTAGCAACAAAAAAAAAAAAATAATCGAGTTTTTTACAACCTGCTGAAACATTTTACAGAGCTGTAATTAATGAAATTATGTGCTAAAATATCATTCATCTTTGTGTCATGTTTAATCAATAACCCATTATTGAACTAAAATGATATTTTAACTATAATAACTAATTTTTCAAAAGACAATTAACCAAAAATTACTCAAATTAATTAAAATTTGTAAATATTTGAAGAATCTTCAAAAAAAAAAATTGATAAAATCCCAGGTCGGTTAGGTTAAATAGCTGAAGGATCTGAGCTGTAATTTTTTTTTTTTTTTTTTTTTTT